TTACAAGATTTAGTTATTGATTATTATTTCCCGAAAATCGTCGGCCATCCCCTTGGAATTTCCGAGGTCATTAATTAATTATCAATTATTTCCGTAACCGAGAATTTCAAGAGATTTTGTCAATAGAACTTTTTTCTGTTACATTTCATTAACAAGATAAAAGATTTATTGACAAAATTTCCTAGTCCTCTTGGTATCTGAGGGAATTAACAATTAAAAAATTGCCTCAGAAATCGAAAGGGGGACGCGGGTAATTTTATCAATTATTTCGCAAAAATAAAGTCTTTTACCATTATCTTGTAAACAAATGGGTTTACAAGATTTACTTATTGATTATTATTTCCCGAAAATCGTCGGCCATCCCCTTGGAATTTCCGAGGTCATTAATTAATTATCAATTATTTCCGTAACCGAGAATTTCAAGAGATTTTGTCAATAGAACTTTTTTCTGTTACATTTCATTAACAAGATAAAAGATTTATTGACAAAATTTCCTAGTCCTCTTGGTATCTGAGGGAATTAACAATTAAAAAATTGCCTCAGAAATCGAAAGGGGGACGCGGGTAATTTTATCAATTATTTCGCAAAAATAAAGTCTTTTACCATTATCTTGTAAACAAATGGGTTTACAAGATTTACTTATTGATTATTATTTCCCGAAAATCGTCGGCCATCCCCTTGGAATTTCCGAGGTCATTAATTAATTATTAATTATTTCCTCAACCGAGAATTTCAAGAGATTTTGTCAGTAGAAGTTTTTTCTGTTACATTCCATTGACAAGATAAAAGATCTACTGACAAAATTTCCTAGACCTCTTGGTAACTGAGATAATTAACAATTAAACAATCGCCTCAGAAATCGAAAGGGGGATAGCTGTGATTTTCGGAATTTTTCCGAAGAAACACGCTCTTTTTCAATTATGTTGTAAACAATTGAGGTTAGAGGATGTTTCCATTCATAATTTTTTGTCGCAAATCGAAGTTGTAACAAAAATAATCTTATGGAAAAATGCTGTAAATCCAATAGTTTTTTAAATAATGACCAAAAATTATTCAAGACTATTGCAATAATTTAATAAATTATTGGGTTTACGTGATTTTTGCATTGGATTATTTTTGTTGCAAATTCGATTTGCGACAAAAAATAATTTATGTAAAATCCTCTAAACCCAATTGTTGAACAGATAATGGTAAAAAACTTTTCGTAACTCGGGATTTCCCGAAAATCGTGGGCCATCCCCTTCGCATTTTTGGGGCCATTAATTAATTGTTAATTATCTCTTCAACTGAGAATTTTNGCCATTAATTAATTGTTAATTAACTCGTCAACTGAGAATTTTCAGGGATTTTGTCAAAAGAACTTTATTCGGTTAAATTTCATTATCAAGATAAAAGATCTGCTGACAAAATTTCCTGGCCCTCTTGGTATCTGAGATAATTGACAATTAAACAATCGCCTCAGAAATCGTAAGGGGGACGGGGGCTAATTTTCTCGATTATTTCCCAAAAAAAAAACTCTTTTACCATTATCTTGTAAACAAATGGGGTTACAAGATTTAGTTATTGATTATTATTTCCCGAAAATCGTCGGCCTTCCCCTTGGAATTTCCGAGGTAATTAATTAATTATTAATTATCTCCTCAACCGAGAATTTCAAGAGATTTTGTCAGTAGAAGTTTTTTCTGTTACATTCCATTGACAAGATAAAAGATCTACTGACAAAATTTCCTAGACCTCTTGGTAACTGAGATAATTAACAATTAAACAATCGCCTCAGAAATCGAAAGGGGGATAGCTGTGATTTTCGGAATTTTTCCGAAGAAACACGCTCTTTCTCAATTATGTGGTAAACAATTGGGGTTAGGGGATTTTTCCATTGATTATTTTTTGTCGCAAATCGAATTTGCAACAAAAAATAATCTGATGGAAAAATGATGTAAACCCAATAGTTTTTTAAATAATGACCAAAAATTATTCAAGACTTGATTGCAATTATTTAAGGGGACCAACAGGTGTCGTGATGGTGTACAGTTCGCTCATTTTCGCAGTCCGGGTTTTTTTTCTGTGTTTTTCAGTTATTTTGCAATCCTCCGTGGCAAATGTGATAAAAAGTTGTTCGTATTTGTGAGCCCTTCATTTTGTGCTAATTACCCCCCTCGTTAGTAGTTTCCCTACCCAAAATTCGCCGGTGAATCACCAACGGTTTTGTGTTTTGAGGTTGGAAAATGTGCCGATATGATACTTTGAGACTGTCTGATAACTCTGTGATTATGGATGGTGGTGACATCTCTGCTCACCCCTCGAAACCTATATTAAAACCAGCAAGATTATCGACACCAAAAGTAATAAAACCTGCAGTACCCCTAACAACTTCTGACAGCCCAGGCAAATAGCTGTTTATTTCGAGAGGTGTGACGTCAAGACAAGCAGCAAAACAACACGTCCCCCCTCCAGCTATCAAGAGACCGGCCTCACCCACAGAAGAAAAAAGTGGGCTATTGAATCCTCTGAAAAAATCTACAGGAGACTCTACACCCGTTTTACCCTCTGATCAGGCCATCACTGAACAGGAAAGTATAGACTCCAGTGATTACTCCAGTACCGAAACATCTCCCAACAAGACTGTAATTTTATCAGGGACAATGTCGAACAATTCCAGTTCACAGAATTCACTGCCTCCTCTCGACGACCCTAGTATCTGTCCACAGCTCAGAAACTTTCTCCTCATCTTGTTACAAGAAAACAGAGCCTCATCTAGCAAAATTCTTGAAAATCAACAAGAAACAGCGGAACGTCTATCACTTCTTGAAGCTCATGTGGTAAAGAACAACACTGAACAGACGCTGGCTATTCAAGAAGTCAGGGCAAGAGTGGACTTAGTGGAGGCAGATCTAGCGCAGGCTAAGTGCTCTTTGGAGGAGAAAATCACACAGATTGCATCTGTTCCTTCTTCCTGTGCTGGTAATCATTCTAACAATGAAGCTACTCAAAAACTGGGTGACAAACTTGAGGAACAGGACAAGGAAAAAAGGAGAAATAACATCATCATAAGAGGTTTACCGTTACCCAGAAATGGTTTGAAAGAAGGAATTACTCAGTTTCTCCGGGAACATTTCCAATACCAGGGTCCTGTTCTCAATGTCAAACCTCTAAGTAAGGAGACTAACAATTTAATAAATATGGCTTCTGTCACTTTAGAGGCCTTGGAAGATAAGTTACACATTCTACGAAATAAAAAGGTGCTCTCCAATCAGAGCAGTACCAATAAGTCTGTCTTTATCCAAGCAGACCGTACTCAGAGGGAACGAATCTGCATGGCGGGGCTGAGGAAGTTTGCCCGTACACTCCAGCCTGACGGTAAAGATGTCCACGTCACTTATGATAGAGTGACTGTCAACAAGATCAGATATACATGGGACATGAATCTCAATACTGGAATTCCCTCCCCAGGAGGCCCTCGAAAACCACAACATAGTTCTCCGCGTACTGCTGCTCCAGGCCACTCTGTTCCAAAAAAAAAACTAGGAGTGTCTCGGATCTCCTTCTGGAACTGCTCTGGTTTTTACAGATGGGAGATTCGAGAATTTTGTACATTATCGGATATTATTTGTATCTCAGAAACCTGGAGGCTTGATGAGAACCCAATGCTTCCCTGCTTTGTGAGTGAATATCAACCTATTTGGTTTCGTGCAAGGAAAGAAATACCTAGGTCCAGAGGCAGGGGAAGTGGTGGTCTCCTTACTCTTGTGAAAAAAGACTTGAACTTTGAAGTACTGAAAATCTGTGACGAATGGTGTTTTGGGAAAATTGACTCAACTGACTACACATTGTTTATTTGCTCTGTATATTTCAACCAGAAAGTGAATATTTATTTGGCTATGGAGTCCCTCCAAGCTGAAATTACGAACATTTGTGATATGC